TATTACTAGAGACCTGACATAGACCTGGTCAGTTATTACTAGAGACCTGACAGAGACCTGGTCAGTTATTACCAGAGACCTGACAGACCTGGTCAGTTATTACTAGGGACCTGACATAGACCTGGTCAGTTAATACTAGGGACCTGACAGAGACCTGGTCAGTTATTACCAGAGACCTGACAGACCTGGTCAGTTATTACTAGGGACCTGACAGAGACCTGGTCAGTTATTACTAGAGACCTGACAGAGACCTGGTCAGTTATTACTAGGGACCTGACATAGACCTGGTCAGTTATTACCAGAGACCTGACAGACCTGGTCAGTTATTACTAGGGACCTGACAGAGACCTGGTCAGTTATTACTAGAGACCTGACAGAGACCTGGTCAGTTATTACTAGGGACCTGACATAGACCTGGTCAGTTATTACTAGGGACCTGACAGAGACCTGGTCAGTTATTACTAGAGACCTGACAGAGACCTGGTCAGTTATTACTAGGGACCTGACATAGACCTGGTCAGTTATTACCAGAGACCTGACAGACCTGGTCAGTTATTACTAGGGACCTGACAGAGACCTGGTCAGTTATTACTAGAGACCTGACAGAGACCTGGTCAGTTATTACTAGGGACCTGACATAGACCTGGTCAGTTATTACTAGGGACCTGACAGAGACCTGGTCAGTTATTACTAAAGACCTGACAGAGACCTGGTCAGTTATTACTAGAGACCTGACAGAGACCTGGTCAGTTATTACTAGGGACTTGACAGAGACCTGGTCAGTTATTACTGGAGACCTGACAGAGACCTGGTCAGTTATTACTAGGGACTTGAAAGACCTGGTCAGTTATTACTAGAGACCTGACAGAGACCTGGTCAGTTATTACTAGAGACCTGACAGAGACCTGGTCAGTTATTACTAGAGACCTGACAGAGACCTGGTCAGTTATTACTAGAGACCTGACAGACCTGGTCAGTTATTACTAGGGACCTGACAGAGACCTGGTCAGTTATTACTAGAGACCTGACAGAGACCTGGTCAGTTATTACTAGGGACCTGACATAGACCTGGTCAGTTATTACTAGGGACCTGACAGAGACCTGGTCAGTTATTACTAGAGACCTGACAGAGACCTGGTCAGTTATTACTAGGGACCTGACAGAGACCTGGTCAGTTATTACTAGAGACCTGACAGAGACCTGGTCAGTTATTACTAGAGACCTGACAGAGACCTGGTCAGTTATTACTAGAGACCTGACAGAGACCTGGTCAGTTATTACTAGAGACCTGACAGAGACCTGGTCAGTTATTACTAGAGACCTGACAGAGACCTGGTCAGTTATTACTAGAAACCTGACAGAGACCTGGTCAGTTATTACTAGAGACCTGACAGAGACCTGGTCAGTTATTACTAGAGACCTGACAGAGACCTGGTCAGTTATTACTAGAGACCTGACAGAGACCTGGTCAGTTATTACTAGAGACCTGACAGAGACCTGGTCAGTTATTACTAGAGACCTGACAGAGACCTGGTCAGTTATTACTAGAGACCTGACATAGACCTGGTCAGTTATTACTAGAGACCTGACAGAGTCCTGGTCAGTTATTACTAGAGACCTGACAGAGACCTGGTCAGTTATTACTAGAGACCTGACATAGACCTGGTCAGTTATTACTAGAGACCTGACAGAGACCTGGTCAGTTATTACTAGAGACCTGACAGAGACCTGGTCAGTTATTACTAGAGACCTGACAGAGACCTGGTCAGTTATTACTAGGGACCTGACAGAGACCTGGTCAGTTATTACTAGAGACCTGACAGAGACCTGGTCAGTTATTACTAGAGACCTGACAGAGACCTGGTCAGTTATTACTAGAGACCTGACAGAGACCTGGTCAGTTATTACTAGAGACCTGACAGAGACCTGGTCAGTTATTACTAGAGACCTGACAGAGACCTGGTCAGTTATTACTAGAGACCTGACAGAGACCTGGTCAGTTATTACTAGAGACCTGACAGAGACCTGGTCAGTTATTACTAGAGACCTGACAGAGTCCTGGTCAGTTATTACTAGAGACCTGACAGAGACCTGGTCAGTTATTACTAGAGACCTGACATAGACCTGGTCAGTTATTACTAGAGACCTGACAGAGTCCTGGTCAGTTATTACTAGAGACCTGACAGAGACCTGGTCAGTTATTACTAGAGACCTGACATAGACCTGGTCAGTTATTACTAGGGACCTGACAGAGACCTGGTCAGTTATTACTAGAGACCTGACAGAGACCTGGTCAGTTATTACTAGGGACCTGACAGAGACCTGGTCAGTTATTACTAGAGACCTGACAGAGACCTGGTCAGTTATTACTAGAGACCTGACAGACCTGGTCAGTTATTACTAGAGACCTGACAGACAGAAAGTCTGTCCACACATTACACAGAGATGTCAAATACATATGAAACACATTACCTTTATTATTAAGCTTTATTATTCCAAA